AGCTGAATAGAGGATCTGCTGGGCGGTAAGTCCCAGAGTAAGAGTGCTTTTACTTTAATAAGACCGATGGACTGGCCAGTCAGTCAAAGTTGTTTCTGTCCATGTATGGCATCATGAAGGGTGGTCAACACAGATCTCACTTCGGTGATGGCTGATAAGATCGTGTCTCCTCAGAATGCTTTCCTTGTCTTTCCTTGTCTTCACCTCTCTCTCTCCGTTACACAGCAATCTACCCTAGCTCACAAGCTCGCCGTGGTTCGTCTTGCCAAGCTGGCAATCCTGACAGATTGGCGTGAAGATCAGTCGAGATCTGCCAAGAAACAGACGACCAGACAGACGACGCCGGCAGTGAGAGCAACAACTTTTTGGCAGTGAGGCGTGAGCAAGATGTTGGCAGTGGAGATGAAATCGACGGACAAGGTGGACCTCTGGCGGCCCATGGAATCATACCTCAAGTCAGCAACACAACACAGATGCCGACACACAGAAACCACCACACATGAAGTCATTCGGCTACCGATGTCCTGTTGCTGGTCTTGATGTGGTGTATGGTTGTGTGTGTGTGTGTTGCAGCACCAACTTCGGGCGTGACCAGACGCAGAAGATCAAGCCCTTCATCGAGTCCTTCAACACCACACGGAACGAACTCATGGCCATACAGGGCCGGGGGGGTTTCGAGAACTCCCGCATGATCCTGCGGAAGCACCTGGCGGCCTGCTGCACCATGGAGAAGCGCTTCCCCCTCAACGAGACCAAGGCCGGGGTGCCACTCAAGTTAGCATGGTCGGACTCGTTCAGGCCAAAGGTAGGTAACCAATGAGCCAAACACACACACACACACACACACACAAGCACTGGACATGACATAGCACACGTCTGTTCTGTGGTTGTGTTGTGTGTCGATATGTATGTCAGACGAAGGGTGTGTTGATGAGTTGGCAGTTCGAGAAGGCGTGTGTGGTGTACAACATGGGGTCCATCTACAGCATGATGGCCAGATCAGCTGACAGGTCATCCACTGACGGCATCAAAGACGCCATCAAGTACTTCCAAATGGTAGGTAGGTATGGTAGATATGCCAGTCCATCAGCAGAGCAGAGCAGGGTGGTCAGCAGGCAGAGGGCAGAGAAGGGCTTCAAGTGTGTCAACGTGTGTGCGCGTGCATGGGATGGGCTTGTCGCTATCGCTGTCGATGGATGGATGGCTGCATTGTAGGCGGCAGGAGTGTTTTCCCTGCTGCGCGACCAGATCATCGGGGGCATCGGTGGCCCCACCACAGTGGACCTGCTCGACCCCACTATCAGCATGTGCATCTCATTCCTCCTTGCACAGGTGGGCAGGCACACGTGACAAGGGAAGCACACATGTACGGCAATGAAGAGAGAAATGTCTGTCTGTCTGTCTGTCTGCAGGCCCAGTCGTGTTTTTATGAGAAGGCAGTCAAGGACAGGCTCAACAGATCCCTCCTGGTATGCATTGCATGATAATCAAGTTGCCGGCACCCGTGCCATTTATTGACCTCTCCCGCCCCGCCCACACACATCTCTCTCCATGATGCTCTTTGCTGTTCGTTCGTTCGTGTCGCGCAGAGCAAGTTGGCTTGTCAGGTAGCTCAGTTCTACGCCGCGGCCCTCAACTTCGCCCAGCAAGTGGCGGGACAGATCGACCCCTCATGGGCCGCACACTTCAGGTACACACACACACACGAGGCCTCCCTCCAACACAGGCAGGCATATCCATAGAAGAGACCTCCATCACATCCATGTGTTCGTCTGTCTGTGTGCAGGTTGCAGGAGCAGGCCTTTCTGACCGCGGCGCATTTCCAGTTCGCCATGGCTGAGAAGGAGAGGGTCGAGGAGAAGTCCGAGGGCTTCGGGTCGCTCATAGCCCGGCTCAAGCTGGCCACCAGTCTGTGCGAGCACGCCTTCGGCATCGCCAAGGCCAACAGCCTCTCCTGCAACCTCGGCACACTGCAGCAGACCCTCACCGCTGAGCTCGCCACTCTCGAGAAGAACAACAACATCATCTACCTTGAGGTGGGTAGGGGGGTGGGACGGAGGGAGGGAGGCAGAGATCGGCAGGCATGTCACAGCGACCGACCTTCTTGTTGTGGGCATGTCAATGGTCTGTGTGTCTGTGTGTCTGTGTCGGTGTGTGATGCAGATAGTTCCCGATCCGAAGACGCTGCCTCCTTTGGAGATGATCGCCACCGTCAGGGCCACACCCGTCACAGTCCAGGTACGGACGTGCGTGCGCCCTGACACCAACCGACACGACACAAACAAATACATACCAAGCCGGCCACCCCGTGCAAACGAATGTGTTGCAGGAGTTGTGTGAGCCCCTGGAGTCGGCCACTCAGGCCTTCGATCGCCTTGTACCGGCAGACGTCAGGGCAAAGGCTGACGAGTACACCACAAGGTAGGCACACACACGCACAGGGAGATAGATACCTCACCTCGACTCACACAACCAACTTACTTAACCACACCATGACATGACAACACCCACTCTCCCTCTCCCTCTCCCATCCATCCGTTGGTTCTCAGGTGCGAGTCGCTGGTGTCCGAGGTGCAGCGAGAGGTCAACACGTGCAGTGGTGCGGTGCAGAAGGCCCTCGTCGACCGCGGCCTGCCCTTCTCCGTCGACAGCACATCGGGGAAGCTCCCCGACTCGGTGTGGAACAAGATCCAGCAGGTGCAGCTCAAGGGCGGCCAGCAGGGCCTCGATCACACCTGCTCCACATTACAAAAGAACACCGAGGAGGCCAGGGCGATTTTGGCGTCGCTCAAGGAGCAGCTTGAACAGGAGGCCAAGGATGACCAGAGCGGGAGGGAGCGGTTCAGCGGCTCTTGGACCAGAATGCCGTCCGACACGCTTAATGGCAACTTCTTCAACTCGATCACCCAATACGGCACCAAGCTGCAGGTACTCTAATGAATGACGCATGTGCGTTGGGTCCATCCATGGCATGGGGGCGTGACGTGACGGGTGTGTGTGTTTGTGTTGTGCAGCAAGCCGAGACGGCGAATGCGTCCGTCCTGGAGAAGTTCCGTTCGCAGGCATCCATGGCGCCCCTGCTGAGCAAGAACCGCTCCGAGATCGAGGCAACGATCCCATCGGGCAAAGATGGGGCGGAGGCGGACTCGCCCGCAAAGACTAAGGTGACCCCAGACAGACAGACAGACAGACGGGGGGGGGGTGGGGGGCAATAAGCCATACACACACGCTCTCCAAATGCATTTGTTCTGTCTCTGTAGGTGCGGACAGCGTTGACGGCTCTGGAGGGCCACATGGATGGTCTGCAGAAGGAGATGGAGTCATTCCGCACCACCGTACTCGCAGACAACATCACCAGCGCACTCATCGAGGTAAGAGGGTCAGTCAGTGGGTCAACAACAGCACCCAATCCAATGACAGACACATGCTTGCCCAAATGCATTCATGTATGTCTCTGATGCCCCTGTGCTGTGCAGGCCAAGCAGCGTGGCGAGCCCTTGGAGCGAGTCATCGACCGTGAGTTGGTCAAGTTCCAGGCCAACCAGCAGGCGGTCAGCGGTGCGATCGAGAAGGCCAACGGGGGGCGGGTTGAGGTCGAGGGCGCCTGGACGGCCTACCAGGCCGAGACCACACACAAGGAGGACGAACGGACGCAATACCTCAAGGCAAGACTGCAGAGCACAGCAGAGCAGAGCGGAACGGAACGCAGCGAGACGTTCTCAGCGGATTGTGGTGTGTTTGTTGTGTTTTCGTATGTATGTTCAGAAGGTAGAGAGCGCTGCGACAGCGATGCTGGAGGTGTTTTCGGACGCGTCCGAGGGCGTGGGGTTCTTCACCAGGCTACTCGACTACCTCCGCACACTCAGGCAACAGGTACAGTACAGTACACTTGCCGAGCGACAGTTCGGTTGCTCACATATGCTCGTGTGTATATATGTGTGTGTGTGTGTGTGTGGTAAGGTTGATGACTTTGTGTATGCGCGTCAAGAGGAGAGAAAGGACCTCCTGGGCACCATCACCAGGCAGATCTCGGGCGGGGCATCCGGCCAGGGCAACTGACACACACAAGTGGTGCTTCTTTGCTCAAATGGGGCGCTGCATTATGTTGATCACGACGGACGGACGAACGGGTTCCACGACGCTTTTTCGTCCATCCCTCCCTCCCTCTGTTAGTGTGTCCTGTTTTTGCAAGCGTCGAGGCGTGATAGTAGGACGGTGCATTTTTGTCGGTGTGTCGCTTGGTAAATGGGTCAGTCAGTGCGCTGGAAGATCACTGGCAAATGTCTCTCTCTGTGCAAGCTCTTTCTTTCTGTCGGCATTGTTGTTTCAGCGGGGTGACCGTCGGTGTGTTTGAAATAGATGTAGGCGACGCAGCACCCCTCGCATTCACGAACTGTGGGGCTTCTTTCGTCGCCTATTCAGTGTCAAACACCCTGACGTAGAGCTCTTGTCGTGCGAACGACAGCCAAGCCAGCCAGCATGGGTGTGGTGTGATGCGAGTGTCGTTGGTTTATTCAAGGTGGCTGTCCGTTGACTGACATCATCCAGCTGGACCCAGCTGCTGCGTGCGTGCCTCTACTGTAACTGCTTCCCATGGTGTGTTGCAGTTAGTGCAGGAAATCTTCTCCGGATCGAATGTTTGTGCGCAATTTCCCTAGCCCATGTCAAGTAGGTACCTCTACCAGTTGTGTCTGTGTCTGTCTGCCATGACACGCACACACGCAGCCACGACACACATCACACGCACTCATCGATCACACATGACAATCCACTCAGTGACCAGGTTTGCTCTCTGATTTCCGTCCATCTCGTGCAGCACGGCGGTGCGCATACGAAGGAGGACACATCACTTAGTGACGAATGTCCGTAGAGGTCAGTTCTCTCAGTCTAAATGCATCAACGGACAGTACAAGGAACTGCTCACACACGACACGCACCCAATTTGACCACCATTCCATTCCCTGCTTTCATCCCACCCTTCCACACGCCGGCCACGAAAAATGACACCCTCGACCCCTCCCTCCCTCACTCCATCCTCTAGCCCCTCCTTGCTCCCTCTCCTCCCTCGC